GAAGGATCGCCGGAGCCCAGCAGGTCGAGGTTGCGGTGGCCAGGAGCGGCCACTGCACTCCACTCTGGGTGACGGAGTAAGACTCCAACCCCAAAAAATAACTAAATAAAGAACTCCACTCTAGATCCCCCGCCCCCAACTCACAAGGACCAGTGCCCTCAACAGGAAGAAGGCAGGCAGGGGATGGGCTGGACACAGGGAATTCTTTTCTCCCAAAAGCAGGGACATGAGGGTTGGGGGCCTGCAGTGGAGCCAAAAATGAGGCAACTCCAGGCTGGGGGGGGTGTGGAGCCTCTGTGGGGGAGGGCTCCACACTACATCTGTATCACAGACCCCAGACCCCTCTCAGCCCTTCGGACATGAACCTGGGTGTGCCCACCCACCCCAGGGTTCTCGGGGGAGGCATCCTCACCTGACCAGCCTGGGGGGCAGCGACACTTGTACTCTGTGAGGGTGAGCAGGTCACAGGTACCCCCGTTGCGGCAGGGGTTGGTGAGGCAGGCGTGGTCCAGGGGTGTCAGGCAGAGGGGCCCAGAGAAGCCCAGGGGGCAGCTGCAGGCGTAGTCCACCACGCCACCCCGGTCCACCACGTGGCACGTCCCGGCGTTCTTGCAGGGGCTACTGAGGCACGGGTTGGGGTCCTGGCATCGTGGGCCCACGAAGGCGCCGCTGCAGCTGTCAACAGACATGTCAGCGTGGTCAGTTCCCACCTGCTCCCCCCATCGTCCCTTCACCCAGCCACAGCTGCCCTCCCCGCAGGCAGTGAGCACAGCGGGAACAGTCTCCGAACCAAGGTACCATGACTGCTAGCGGGGAGGGAGGGGCCTCCTTTAAGGGTGACAGAGTGCCCTGGAAGGAGACAGAGGTGGCACCTGCACTAAATGTACTAAATGTCACTTTAAATTTCAAGTGGTTCCTCTGGGGCCAGGTCCAGTGGCTCATGCCTGTAATCCCAGCACTTTGGGAGGCCGAGGCAGGAGGACTACCTGAGCCCAGGAGGTTGTGGTTGTAGTGAACTGTGATCGATTGTGCCATCCTGGGAGACACAGACCCCAACTCAAAAAAAAAAAAAAAAGTGGTTCATTTCTCTTTAAGCTAATTTCACCTCTATTTAAAAAACAACAACAAAAAAACCACTTATTAATTGGAGGAACAGGCTAGAGACTAGGATGTCCAAGCAGGATCTGGCTTGGATTCCAAAACAGATTCCAGAACACAGGCAGGCGCTCCTGTCTACACCCACGTGGATCCCAGCAGGGCCATCCACACTGGCCAGCACCATTCTCAGGATGAGGAATGACCCATCAAACCTCCCGTTTGGAGGCCGCTTTTCCTCTAGAATCTCCCTAATGACTAGGCATCGTCTGAGGAGTAACAGGGTTCATGGCTGTTCCAACCTTCAAGTCCCAATGCTACAGCAAGCACGGCAGACGGGCTGGCTTCCTATGCCCTGTCCCTCTCAGTGGAAGCTCATCCCCGCACCCAGCGCCCCCCGCCCTGCTCAGCCCCCACACACGGCCTTTCTCTTTAGGTATCAAGTCTTCATAACACACCCAGGCAACGCTGGCTGGAAGAAGACGTATTATACCCATCTAACTGCTCGGGAAACCGAGGTGCCTGGAGGAGTGCCCTTTGATGGCTCTTCGTGAGTTGGTCAAGGCTCCTCAGCGGGCTTGCGCCCTTTCCTGGAACAGATGGTTCAGGCTCGGACAAAACTAGAGGGGCCAGGGAGGCGTCCTGTGTCCCTGCTCCAGCCTGGTCTGCCTATTCCCTGCAGGGACAGGCCCACCCCCCAGCCCCACATAGCACCGCAACCACCTGTTGTGACCATAAACTGCCCGTGCGGTCACCTCATGGCCTTGCACTCCCGGGGAAGGCCTGGGACCAGCCAGGCTACGCTCTTCCCAGCGAAACCTCTTGGGCAGAACATGTCCCGGCCAGGCCCTGGCCCCAGCCCCCATGCTGGGCCCACAGCCCTGGCACTGGCAGGTTGCCTTTCAGCCGCTAGCCACTGGATATACAGGGGACCCTCCTGAGCACAGAACCACTCTGCCTACTACAACCTGCCAGGGTTGGGGAAGCTGTCCCTCGGCCCCAGGTCCAGCCCCTGACAACCTTCCCGTGGGGACCCTCGGCCACCGACAAGCACCAGCCTGCTAAGTCTCACTTCCTCCCCTCTTTCCTGCCAGTTTATTCCCACCTCCGTGGCTAAAATCAAGCCTGCCTGTGACAGGGTGGCCTCAGAGAGGCCTTGCCCCTGAGGGGAAGGTGGAAGCAGTTTAGGGGGCTGAGGTCTGTGTTTCTCAGCAGTTAGGCAGTTCCCAGTCCCAGAGACCCGGGAGGCATCTGTCTCCCCTAAAGGCTTTCATCTGTGGCTGCGGCTTGGGTAGGGAGGGTGCAAAATGGCCACTCCGGCTGACCATCTGTTGCCAGAAGCCAAAAGTCCTAAACCAACTGGCTTAAAGAAAACAAATCGCACCCCCCACCCCCAGGGAGCTCCGGGGAGTTAATGCAGACCTCAGCTGTGGCTCCTACTGACCGTCTCGGGAAGGAGAGCAGGCCCAGGTGGCTGGCTCTTCCCGAGTGATGGGCACAGTCCTGGATGATCCCCCCCCGCCCCCCCCACACACAGCCAATGGCTCTGGGAGCTTCCTTGTCTACACTGGCCTCCCTGGGGCACCTTTGGGGAAGATAGGCGCAGCCCCCACTGTGCGTGGATCCAGTGACAGGCTGGCCTGGTTCTCTCCGCCTGAGCAGCCACTGGGAACTGTGGAGCCCCGAGGGCCGGGCTGGGCCACGTCCACAGGAGGGGTGCCCTCCCCTCAGATCAATGCCCCATTGTCAGGCGGGAGTTGGCCATGGCTCCCACTTGGAGAAAAGCCTCTTTTTCCTTTTCCAGCCACTGACGAAGTCAGCAGGGCTGGGTGCAGGACAGAGGGCGCGTGCGCGCTTGTCAAAGCCGGCCCAGAGCCGCCAGGGACCCAGCCCATCCACGCCTCTGGGCACACACACTGCAGCTCTCTCCCCAGTCCCTTGGCCCAGGAGGACCCAGGGTCCGAGGGAGGGGGAGCCCACCCCAAAGCTTTGTGGAAATCCACAGGAGCTGCCCAAAGCGACCCATCTCATAGGCGAGGTCTCTGTCACTAGTTCCAGAGGGCGTACCCTGGGGGCCCTGGCCCCTAGAGCAATCTCCTGCTAAACATCCTGAGAAAACAGGACACTGAGTGCCCCCATATGAGCCAGGAGACTCTGTCTGAACACCACCCCCCTCTGGCCATGGGCAGCATCCCCAGCGAACACCCCACTCCCTTCCCTGGAGGACTGTGGGAGAATTGGCCAACCCCAGGCACATCCCAGTTAACAAGGCTGTTTCAGGCCAGTCCAGCAAGAGGGAAAACACGCCCCATAAATCAGGCGTCGGTGGCATGGACAAAGGGCAGCTGGGAGCAGGTGTCGGACGCGGCGGCAGCTGCTCCCAGTGGGCGGGGCAGGAGCCCCAGCCGGGCTTCGGAGGCTCCCGCGGGGGAATGCGGCTGAGAAGACCCATTGTCCTCCCATCTCACCCTGGGCACTGGGACTCCCCAGTGAAGGCACGCTGCCCGAGGGCCTGCCCAACGCGGCAACACCCCCAGTCCCAGGACAGGCAGGACAGCGAGAGGCCCCGGAGGTGCCCTGTGGGAGTCAGGGGTGCTGGCTGTGGGTGAAGCAAGGAGCTCCAAGCCAAGTGTGGAAGGGTCTGCGCACCAGGCCAGTCCAGGGCCATTCCTCCCCCAACACTGGTTCCCGCCCTAGGCAGGCCCAGCACCACCAGCACCCTGCTCCCCACCCACAGAGCTGGAGCGCCCAGGGACAGACACCTGTTACCTCCTCTCAGGGTCCAGACAGCCCTGAGAAGGTGGGGAGGTACCGAGGCTGCAGCTGCCCGCGACCGAATTCCTCATGGCCCTGGCAATGGCCACATCCCAGCACCCGTGGTGGCTCTGCCCTCAACACCTGTCCTGGCAGGTGGGTGTGAGCATGCGGGTGGGAGCCGGGTTTGGCCAGGGGAGTCACACCCAGCAGCCACTGCCTCGCCCAGCGGGGATTCCCAAGACACACCCAGGTCAGGGCTTGGCCAGTGACCCACACCCCACACCATGGTGCTCCACGTCCTGTCAGGGGCAATGGGATGACCCTTCAGGGGCTGAGAGATGCGAGTTCTCCCAAGACAGGAAACGCCAGCCCCCCTGGACTGGACAGGGACTGCCCGGTCCACCATGACGCTTCCTGTGGTGGGACCCAGCCCACAACGAGCTCCCGCTCTGCTTGCCCCCTCAGGGTCACCTGGCACCTGCTGGTCCCTTTTTGCCCCCCCAGGCCGAGCCCATCCATCATGGCAGGTGAGTGTGCAGCAGGCTGGGGGCTCAGAGGGTGACGGGGAGGGGGTGGGCTTCCGGCAGCCACACGGAGCAGCGCCAAATGGCAGCGGTCCTGTTGTCCCTGTCCCGCGCCTCCCGCTTTGTTCCCGGTTTCAATATTTCCACTGTGCTGGCTCCCCCCCTCCCCTGCCAGGGTGCGCTCCATAGAAATGCGACTCCAGAAAGCATCCGGCGGCAGATGTGGCTGCGACCTTTCACCCGGGACGAATTCTAAATTGTGCTGTTTTCCTTTCTAAGCTGAGAGGCCATCTGCCACCCCCAGGGGACAGATGATAGCTCCCTCCACCCCAAAATGAGAAGTGGGAGCAGGGCAATATGGGGGAGCAGGAGGAGTTTATGGTCAAGTGGGGGCAAGAAACAGGAGATACCGGGGAAGGCCAAGCCTGGGATGGGAGTAGGGGAGCCCCCCGGGCCCCGGCCAGCTGAGGGTCCATGGCACCCTCGCTGGCTCAGCCGGGAAAACCAAAGATCCTAGGGCAGCTGCCTCCCTCAGCTATAGTCGACATAGCTCCTGGCACAGGGACAGTGGGAGACTCCAGTGGGCAGGGCCTGCATGACCCCACGCACAGGGACAACCCTGCAGCCCCTGGCCCCTTGCACCACTGCCGCGGTCCTGCTTCCCTGGGAGGGCAGGAGGCAGCCACCCAGCTTAGTTAGCCCCCGGTGCTTCCCCCTGGTCCCAGGTGCAGCAGGCAGCAGGACCTGTCTTGCCTATCCCTTGGGGCCAGTCCCCACCCATCTTCCCATCATGGCAGAAGTCCAAAGTTTCCAGCTCTGCAGCGTGGTTGCTCACAGGACCACAAAGGGGGGTTATGACATCCCCACAGCTACTGCTCCCAGGGAGCCTGTCTGCGTCCACATCCTGCTAGGAGCCATCACTAGGCAGCGGGGGTGGGGGGTCCTTCCCTCCTGGAAGCCCCTCCCCATGGTGGCACAACCTGCCCCCACCAGGTCCCAACAAGCTTTCTGCCCAGGAGGGAGTACGGTCTGTGGACTCCTGCACTGCCTGCTCCAACCCAGCAGGTGTAGACCAAGTCACCATCAGAGGGGGTGGGGATGGCTGGAGCAAGCGCCCACCTCTCCCAGAGCCTGATCCTGCTGTGCTCAGAGGAGGCCCCGCAGGGCCAGCTGCCTTCGACACCAAATCGTGGACAACAGGTCCAAACCAGGGCAGCTACTGTCACATGTTGGTCCACCCGTCCATCGTCCCTGCCTAGGCAGACAGGGCCAGCTGTCGACGGGACAGAGAGGGTGTCA